ACACACACACACACACACACACACACACACACACATATACACACACAAACTCCTTAGCTCTGTTTACTGAGACAGTCTAAAATCAGTGATATCCCAAAAGTAGTGAGCACAACTTGTACCCAAATCTTGGCTTCTAAATCCTATGTTTCACTAAAAAAAGCCAAGACTTTTTGGAGAAATGGCTGATTCCAGGAATGAGGAAAAGAATATACAAGATCATCCTGGAATCCAAGAAAACTTAAAACAAATGTCTACACAAAGACTTATACACAAGTGTTCATAGTAGCATTATGAGTATACATAATAGCCAAAAAGTTAAAACCAACAAATGTCCTTCAACGGATTAATGGATAAACTAGATGTGGTACATACATACAATGGAACATTATTTAGCCATAAAAAGAATGAATTAATGATTTATACTACTACATAAATAAACCATGAAAACAATATGTTAAGTGAAAAAAGGCAGACACAAAGGCTACATATTGTATGATTCTATTTATATGATATGTCCACAATAGGCAAATCCATAGAGACTGAAAGTAGATAAGTGGTTACCAGGGGCTGGGGAAACAGGGAATGGGAGTAACTGCTAATGGGTACAGGGTTACTTTTTAAAGTGATGAAAATGTGCTGGAACTAGATAGTAGTGAGGTTGCACAATCTTGTAAATATATTAAAAACCACTGAATTATATAATTTAAGAGTGAATACTATGATATGGAATTATATATCAGTTTTTTAATTAAAAAAAAAAAAAGCCTGGAACATCTTATACCAGAATGCAAGAAAGTGTTTAAAGAATGACAAGAATATATCAAAAAACAGGCCAGCTTTAAGTGGCTTCTCACTGGCCAAATTGGGGATAATCTGAAGATCAAAACAGATGACAATAATGGATTTTAATAACCTGTTGAATAAAATAGGAAACCAACAGTCCATACAGATACACATAAATAGTGTTAATGTTTTAAAATATTTCTACAAATTCACTGACACTACTTTTAAAACATGGAGCCTATTTTCCCCCTCTTAGGTGTGGGCTAGATCAGTGGCTGACATGTAATAAAGAGAATAAGGTAAAGTGACAGTGTACAATTTGAAGATTAGGTCATAAAAGTCACTGTGGCTTCAGCCTTCTTTCAGATCACATGCTGATGCTGTGAGAACATTCTAGCAGCCCTATGTAGAGGTCCACATGGTTAGGAATGAGGCCTCCTGCCAATAGCCACAAGGAACTGTGACCTCCAGCCAACAGCTAAGTAAGTAAGCCTTCTAGGAAAGCAGATCCCCAGCTCCAGTCAAGATCCTCCAGCCCCACATGTCCAATTAAAACCTCAGCTGACATCTTGACTGCAACCACATAAGCTAGAACCATCCAACTAAGAAGTTCCCAGGTCCCTAAACCTCAGAAACTGTCAAATAATGTTTGTTCTTTTGAGCCTCTAAGTATTGGAGTAATTCATTACACAACAATAAATAATTAATATACATACTTTCAAAGTATCTCCCCACAAAATACTGAGTTACAAAAGGAAAAAGAACTTATCAATGGAGAAGCTTGGAGAACACCACTTTAATCAAGTGATCAAAGTGAACACTTTCAGTACCAAGGCAAGCCAAACTTGAGTGCTACCTCCTTACTGAGGCAGAGCCTGAATCTAGTCATGAGTAAATCCCAGACAAACCTAAACTGAGGGATTTTCTGCAAAATAACTGTCCTCTAATCCACAAGAATGTCAGAGTCATGAAAGTGAAAGGAAGGTTGAGGCGTTAGCTATCCCAGACTAAAGAAGACTAAGAAATGACAACTAAATGTAACAGGTGATTCTGAACTGAATATTATGGTAACAACTGGTGACATTCGAATGTGGTCTTAGTGTTAGATAGTATTAATTTATCAATGTTAATTTTCCAATTTTGATGGTTGCATTGTGTCCTAATTTGTAGGAAATAAACACTAAAGTATTCAGGGATGATGGGCATCAGGTTTCCAACTTATTATCAAATGGTTCAGGGAAAAAGTTTTCTGTACTGTACTTACCACTTACCACTGTGTGTGTGTGTGTGTGTGTGTGTGTGTGTGTGTGTGTGTGTGTGTGTGAATCTTTCCAGAAATATACAGCATGTTATAATCTTAAAAGTTAAAAGACCGGCGACGGCGTAGGCTGCAGCCCCTGTGGCAGTGGGTTGCCATGGGCTACCGTGTGTAGCCAG